CTCGTTCTCGACGAACTTGGTGAGCAACGCTGCCCTTCAGGATGCAGGGGTTAATACCTTCACCCCTGCATGGCAGCGTGTGGCGATCTGCACGTGTGCACAGACTGGCCGTCACCTGGCCACGTTCACTCGTCGGCCAGGGTCGAGTCTTTACACACTGACGACTGCGTCTCCTTTGGCCGCTGCTGTTGGTCAGGTGTCTGCGTCAGGTCTGGTAGCCTCCCCTTGTGAGTGTCGCTCCCTGTCGCACCAGACTCTTCTCTGGCACCACCGTCTGGGTCACCCCTCCTTGCCTCGTCTACGTGGCATGCACCGTCGCCTCCTTGTGTCTGGTCTTCCCAGGTCTCTGCCTCCCCTCCCTGCCTCGCCTGCGCCGCCCTGCCTTCCTTGCGTCGAGGGGCGGCAGCGCGCCGCTCCTCATTCCTCCTCGTTCCCCCTGACAGAGGCTCCCTTGCAGACCCTCCACCTGGACGTGTGGGGCCCAGCCCGCGTCACTGGACAGGGCGGCGCGCGGTACTTTCTGCTGGTTGTCGACGACTACTCGCGTTACACCACGGTCTTCCCCTTGCGCACCAAAGGTGGTGAAGTCCCTGCTGTCCTGATCCCTTGGATCCGAGCAGTTCGTCTCCAGCTCCGCCGCCGGTTCCGGTCATACCTTCCTGTCCTGCGTCTGCACTCTGACAGAGGTGGTGAGTTCTCCTCCGACCTCTTGCGGGCCTTCTGTCAGGGGGAGGGCATCGAGCAGTCGTTCACGCTTCCGGGCTCACCGCAGCAAAATGGGGTTGCTGAGCGCCGCATTGGTTTGGTCATGGAGATCGCTCGTACCTCCTTGATCCATGCGGCGGCTCCCCATTTCCTGTGGCCGTTTGCAGTCCGGTTTGCTGCGCACTAGCTCAACCTCTGGCCCCGTGTGTCCGTGCTGGACACCTCGCCCACACTGCGTTGGACGGGGAAGGTTGGCGATGCGTCGCGCTTCCGGGTCTGGGGTGCTCGTGCCCTTGTCTGCGATACGTCCGCGGACAAGCTCTCCTCCCGCACCATTCCCTGTGCATTCCTTGGCTTTGTCCCTGCCGCGCCTGGCTGGCAGTTTTACCACCCCACCTCGCGCAGGGTCTTCGCCTCCCAGGACGTCACCTATGACGAGCCGGTTCCTTTCTACCGTCTCTTCCCCTACCGCACTGCCCCTCTCCCTCCCCCGCCGCTTTTCCTCGCTCCAGGTCCCCCTCCGGTAGACCCCCTCCCCCCTCAGGGTCCTGCTCCCTCAGGTGTGTCTCAGGTAGACCCACTCCCCTTGGCTGAGCCTTTGGAGGTCACTTCTGACACCTCTGGCCCAGCTGAGGGGGGTGACGTTGCTGCTGACGCCCCGGCTGAGCCGGTTCCTGTTGTCTCTGGTGCTGCTGGGGGTGGTGCTACTCGGGGTGCTGCGTCTGGGGGTGCTGAGCCTGTGCGTGAGGTGCTGGGAGGTGTGGAGCCTGGGGGTGCTTGGCCTTCGAGTGCGGAGCCTGAGGGTGCTGAGCCGGAGGGTGCCGGGTCGGGGGGTGCTGAGTCAGCTGGCGTTCCTCAGGATCTTGTTTACAGGCGGGGACCTCTCTCACCACAGCAGCTACGAGAGTGGCTTGCGTGGCGTACCCGCCTGAGGAGTCGTGTTGCTGGAGCTGGAGGTCCTGCTGCTGGAGGTACTACTGCTAGGGGTGCTGAGACTGGAGCTGCTGGAGCTGCTCGTAGTGGAGGCGCTGTGAGTGCTAGTGTTTCTGGTTCTGAAGGTGCTCGTACCGGAGCTGCTGGAGCTGCCAGGACTGGAGGTGCCGCAGTTGGAGGCGCTGGAGCTGGAGACCCTGGAGCTGGTGCTGTCGACCCTGGAGTTGGAGACCCTGGAGCTGGAGGTGCTGGTTCTGGGGGTGCTGCTGCTGAGGGTCCTGAGGCTGGAGACCCTGCTGCTGGAGGTGCTGTACTGGGGGTGCTGCTTCTGGAGGTACTGAGGCTGGAGACCCTGGAGCTGGAGGTGCTGGTTCTGGGGGTGCTTCTGCTGCTGGTGCTGGAGCTGGAGCTGCTGGCACTGGAGCCCCTGGAGCTGCTGACGCTGGAGACGCTGGAGCTGCTGCTGCTGGAGGCGCTGGAGCTGCTGGCGCTGGAGGCGAGGGTGCTGCTGGTGCTGGAGGTACTGCGACTGCTGGAGCTGGTGGTGCTGCTGGTGCTGGAGGTGCTGGTGGTACGTCCGAGTGCTACTGATCGCGGAGGTGCTTGTACTTCGGGTGCTGGAGCTGCCGGGGCTAGTAGTGCTGCGGACCCTTGAGTTGGTGGTACGGCACAATCGCGCCTGTTTTTCGCTCCGTCGTCTCCGTCGTCCCTGCCGCCGCCTGACACCGTGCTTCGCCAGGTTCTTACCCTCCCGTCTTCTACTGGCCTCCCGTTACAGCCCGGCTCTCCGCTGCCTGCGCCGTCTCCTTACCCAGTGCAGTCTGAGTCGCCTTCAGAGCGTCGTGAGCCTGCGTCTCGTCCTGCCTCGCCTGTTCGCACTACTCGTCGTGTGCCTCGTCCACGTCCTCCCCCTGTGCCAGGTGTTCACATTATGGCACTTCGTCCTTCCTCTGTTCCTCTGCGCGTTCCCCTGCCGTCTCCTCCTGCGTCTTCTCTGCCTGACGTTCCGGACCCTGAGTCTGACCTGGTTCGTGCTGCTCACCCTACTGTCACGCGTCTGTTGGCCACTGTTGTCACTGACCCTTCGTTTGAGTCCGCTGCTGCGTCTGCCTTGGTCACTGAGCTTGTTGACTTTGCTGCTGCTTGTCGTCTCGACTACGCTACTAATCTAGTTGCTGAGTCTGAGTCTGTCTGTCCTCCGTCCGTCGGGGGTGAGTGTGCTCTAGGCACGGACGTCCTTGAGGACAGGCAGGAGGACTTTGACTGTCTTGCCATCGCTGCGCCTCATCTCATGGCCATGCTGCTTGCCCCTGAGGGAGACCCGGATGCACTGGACATCCCCACCCCGCGCTCTTACGCAGAGGCGATCTCGGGTGACTACTCCTCTCAGTGGCAGACAGCCATGGACGCAGAGATGGCATCCTGGAAGTCCACAGGCACTTACGTCGACGAGGTTCCCCCTCCTGGGGCGAACATCGTCGATGGCATGTGGATTTTCAGGGTGAAGCGGCCGCCGGGTTCTCCGCCTGTCTTCAAGGCTCGTTACGTTGCACGAGGCTTCAGTCAGCGACAGGGAGTTGACTTCTTCCAGACCTTCTCCCCTACCCCGAAGATGACTACTCTTCGGGTGCTGCTGCACGTTGCCGCTTAGCGTGACTACGAGCTTCACTCTCTTGACTTCAGCACAACTTTCTTGCAGGGCAGCTTGCACGAGGAGATCTGGCTGCGCCGCCCACCTGGCTTCACTGGGGCGTTCCCTCCTGGTACCCAGTGGAGCCTCCGGCGGCCAGTCTACGGTCTCCGTCAGGCGCCTCGTGAGTGGCACGACACACTAAGGACGACACTTGCGGCTCTTGGGTTTGCTCCTTCCACTGCTGACCCGTCGCTGTTTCTGCGCACTGACACCTCGCTGCCGCCGTTCTACATCCTCGTGTACGTCGACGACTTGGTCTTTGCCACTGCTGACACTGAGGCACTCACCCTTGTGAAGTCGGAGCTGCAGAAGAGACACACGTGCACAGACCTGGGTGAGCTGCGCAGTTACCTTGGCTTGCAGATTACCCGGGACAGAGCACGCCGCACCATCACCCTGACTCAGTCACACATGGTGCAGCAGGTCCTTCAGCGCTTCGGCTTCCAGTTCTCCTCACCACAGTCCACTCCTCTGCCTACCAGTCACTCGCTCTCAGCTCTGCCTTCGGATGAGTCCGTAGAGCCGAGTGGCCCGTATCCAGAGCTTGTGGGCTGCCTCATGTACGTGATGACCTGCACACGACCTGACCTTGCGTACCCTCTTAGCATCCTGGCTCGCTACGTTGCACCTGGGAGACACCGGCGAGAGCACTGCGAGACTGCTAAGAGGGTGTTACGCTACTTGTGCAGTACGTCGGGCATGGGGCTGGTGTTTGAAGGACGGGGTGACGTTGTTCTCACTTGACACCCGGTCGCTTCTTTGGTTGACGACCTGGCTACATAGCGGTCGTCACAGGGTTACACGTTCAGCCTTGGCTCTGGTTCTGTTTCTTGGCGGTCTACACGCTCTTCTTCTGTTCTCAGCTCCAGTTGTGAGGCTGAGATCTGACCACAGCTATGGCTGCACAGGAGCTACGCTGGCTCACCTACCTTCTGACCGACCTTGGAGAGCGGCCTCGTTCCCCTCCAGTTCTGTACGTAGACAACAAGGCTGCCATTGCCTTGTGTTAGGAGCACAGACTGGAGCACAGAACGAAGCACATCGCTCTGCGTTACTTCTTGGCTCGAGAGTTGCAGCAGCGTGGTCAGCTTCGTCTTACTCACGTGGCCACTCGGGCCAACACTGCTGATATATTCACCAAGACACTTCCGTCTGGTGATCATCAGCATCTGTGTACTCTGTTAGGCCTGGTGCCAATATCGTCTCACTTGCTCAACTCGTGACCTTGTTTGTACTGTGATCTATATATATACTTGCATGTTGGGTGTTGTTAGGTAGAGATCACTGTACTGCTACTGTTGCATATATACTTTTGCATGTGGACTGGCCTTGTGGCCCTTTGCTTGTGCTCAGAGTGTGTGGTGACGTTGTGATCCACCCTGAGCTTGCTTTGCTTCTCTTGACTGGTCTTGTGACCCCTTGTTCTCCCCCACTTTGCCTATGGGGGTGTGTCAAACTATATCTATATGTTATAATCTAGGTAGGCTATAGTGGGGTAGACAATGTGGGGTACAACCCCTTAGGGTTCTCTACTTGTACCAAAATCACTCGATAGTCAATCACCCTTCTCCCTTACTTCTAACAAGGGGAAGCAAGGGGGGAAAGGAGGGGACGCAAGGGGGGAAAGGAGGGGACGCAAGGGGGGAAAGGAGGGGAAGCAGGGGCGGAAATGAGGGGAAGCAAGGGGGGAAAGGAGGGGAAGCAAGGGCGAAAAGGAGGGGAAGCAGGGGGGGAAAGGAGGGGACGCAAGGGGGGAAAGGAGGGGAAGCAGCGGGGGAAAGGAGGGGAAGCAGCGGGGGAAAAGGAGGGGAAGCAGCGGGGGAAAGGAGGGGAAGCAGGGGGGAAAAGGAGGGGATGCAAGGGGGAAAAGGAGAGGAAGCAGGGGGGGAAAGGAGGGGACGCAAGGGGGGAAAGGAGGGGAAGCATGGGGGGAAAGGAGGGGAAGCAAGGGGGAAAAGGAGGGGACGCAAGGTGGGAAAGGAGGGAATGCAAGGGGGGAACGGAGGGGAAGCAGGGGGGGAAAGGAGGGGAAGCAAGTGGGGGAAAGGAGGGGAATCAGGGGAATCCGCGCCTCATCCCCTTCCTCGTCGTCCCCTTCTGCACCTCTCCCCTCACTCTCCGCCTCTCCCCTCCCTATCCCCCTCTTCCCTCCCTCTCCGTCTCTCCCCTCCCTCTCCGCCTCTCCCCTCTCTATCCGACTCTTCCCTCCCTCTGCGCGTTTCCCCTCCCTCTCCGCCTCTCCCCTCCCTCTCCGCCTCTTCCCTCCCTCTCCGCTCCCCTCCCTCTCCGCCTTCCGCAGTCCCCGTGTTGACCTGCCCGGCAGGTCCGCCCCCATTCAATCTTCTCGCTGCTCGTCCGCTCAGGTTGTATGCTGCTTTGCAGTAAGAAATCGGTGCGAGTGGATAACGGACTTGCTGACAGGATCAGCGAGTCGCACGATGCACTGTCGCACAGTGACTTGTTCTTGTGCGACAAAATCTGCGCAGCTCATAGGGGAAGCGATTACTTCCGACTTACACTCTAACTCAAATCCGTTTCAAGTACAATGAGTGACGGCAACTATGAAAGCCTACTCAATCGGTGTCAAACTTTTTTACCGATATCAGTCTGAGTAGGTGGCGTTGTTAGCGGTAGGACGTGCGTAGCTCTGATATTATATTTCCCGTGAGCACAGTCGAGTTGAATCTTCGCAGGGACTTCTAGTGCAGCCACACTTTCCTTGCGCGTCGTACGAGTGGTCAGTTGTGCGAAACCTTCTGATTGGCTGTCTTCTTTTCATGCGACCCACTTTTCGCTTTGCGTTGGTGAGGTTCGCAGGTTTGATATGCACGAAATGTTCAATTTGCTTGCGGAGAAAAGCTGTCCTCGCCAAAGCCACTCAACCGAAATAGGTTTCGCAAACCGTCACCTATAGCCTATTTCAAATCCACATAACTTGAAATTTTACCATGCTGACCTCGGGCTTTAATGAGTCGAGTCGAGTTCATATATTCAGGTCGCACTTGTCATGTGTTCAGATTGGAAAGTTTTTGCCAGACTCTTTTGGCGACATTCACGAAGGTGTTAACCATGCTAAGTTCGACCTGATTTCTGAACCTAGAAAAAAAATCACACGCGCCCTAACTGTAGTTGATGCCAATGTTCGGTTTCGTGGCGTGCTGGCAAGGGAAGCAATCACAACTGACCAATCGGACACGAACGCACGTACTGCACGGAATGAAACCTCGGTATTTGCGTGATTTGCGGAAATCACGATTTGACAAATGTCGGGGAAAAAGAGGGGGGGGGGGGGGGGGGGGGTCCCTCCCTGTACGCTCTTCAGTGTGATCTTTGCTAAGGGGAAATTTACCCCAAGGCATCAGTGTGGCATAAGTCGCTACAGATCAGTGTAACACTAATTCACAAAAAAATTAACCGAACACATCAGTGTAGACCCTAAATTTTACCCTTATAATCAGTGTAGAAGGGTAAATTACACTGCAAACCCGAGCCCTGGTCTGCGACCTTTGAAAACAAAGAAACCTACAAATAATTTCCCATCTGTGTTTGTATTCATGTTGTATTCATGCACTTGAAGGCGAGTCGACACTTCTCCCATGGAGAAGGAAGTGCACGACAGCATCGTTGAAGGGCTTTGGCCGATGGATGTTGAGTGCGTGTGATGCTCCCTCCAGTATCTCTAATGATGCGACGGGCCCAAAGTGGCTGCAAAGGATTAGCCAAGGGGGGACAGGATGGGGAGAAGCACATGTGCATGGCACCTCACGACCATGCCCATCATTTCAGCATGCATGGCCTCAAACTAGAATGGCCTCATAAGGGCATGACACCACCACATGAGCATGGCAGCACATGAGCATGGCATCACATGAGCATCGCATCACATGAGCATGGCAGCACATGAACATGGCATCACATGAGCATGGCAGCACATGAGCATGGCATCACATGAGCATGGCATCACATGAGCATGGCATCATGTGTATACTGCGGGACGCTCACTTTCCCACCTGTGCATGCGATGTGCCACAGAGAGAGGAAAGATGGAATCTCGGCTTCCCCACACCAGAAGAGTCTCCTGCAGGCGACAACATGTCATGGCGTGGTGTGGTATGGCGTGGCATAGTGTGGTATTGTGTGATGTGGCATGGCCTAGTGTGGTGTTGTGTGGTGTGAGGCATGGCATGGCATGGTGTGCCATGGTGTAGCATGGCGTGGCATACCATGGTGTGGCGTGTTGTGTTGTGGGGTGGGGTGGGGTCGGGTGGAATGGGAAACAAAAGGGTAGTGGGGAATGGTACAAAGAGAGGCACGTGTGAGTGGGGCACGGCTGGTGCCTGCCACATCATGCGCAACATGCCCTTTTACATACAAACTTATGGTGTACTCAGAATTCGGGGTACAGCAACACAAAACACCCACCATTTTAGGCACAGGGATGTCAAGAGCATTGAGGCCTGGCAACGCACGCACGCCACTCTCCCTCTTGCTCTCCCCTCTGCCCGCCCCCTCATGCCCATCCGCAGCGGTTTCTTCCATGCCCGTCCCATTATTCGTTGTCGTTTCATTCGGCCTCGCATTGTCAGCGCCCGTTCCAGTTGGTCCCGTTCCATCGAGGCCCGTTTGGGAGAGGTACTGAAGCACTTGGTCCAGCATGCCGAGCTTCTCCTCCTTGTTGTCAAACAGGGCCTGTAGTAACGAGGATGAAAGCGCGGATGGCGCACGAACGAATAGGAGAGGGACCAAAGTGGAGGGGGCGGGAAGGACAGATGAAGAAATGCTAGGGGTGATGGGCACAACGAGGGATGGGCACAAGGGGGGATGGGCGCAAGGGAGATCGCCACAAAAGGGGTTCGAAACAGAATAGTCACTTGGGTTCATCTATTTCAATTAATTTCTTTTTTTCAACAGTAACAAGTAACTTGCCATAGCGAGTCAACTTTCCGAGCGCCGAGTCAACGGATGTTACTTGCAGTTGTGCCCTAGCCTCTTAAACCAACGCAGATGTGAATCAATGCTGGTCCAGGTGCATGCACGATCAACCGAAGAGGCGTACGCAGGATCAACCGACTGGGAGTCCGATGACAAGAGGTTGGGTACGGTTGCCAAACTGTAGACAATCGGCTGCAGTCCGGGTGCATGGAGGTTACATGCGGTTTGCCAAGCCGCATGTGGGACCGAAATAATTGCTTACAAAGTAGTCAGATCCCGAGTATGAAGAGCAGAGTAATTCTGAGGCTGAAATCACTTCCGACTGTGTATTACCTCGTTGATTATACAAACGATTTTGTCTGCATCCCCTCGGTTCACCAATAATCGCTGGAATTACCGGGCATGCCCAGATAGGCGGTGAGACCTATTCCCCAGTAACGAATCCCCTTGTGGATTAGGACGCGGTAAAAGTGCAAATATCGCAGGATCATCTGCAAATATCGAGCCCCACAATCGATTGGGCAGATCGATTGGCGAAACGTGGCGATCGCGACATTGTAACGATCGCCACTTAGAATTGACAGATCTCTCGCGATCAGTAATCAGTCGCATTCACGCACTGTACAGAAATTTTGGCCAAAATACGAACTGCAACATGGTTACAGCATAGCTAATAGGGTATCCAATCCGCACATCGATCGCGACTGACGATCGATCGTCTACTTTCACCGCGTCCTTAGAGACTGGGCGGTCATATCCGATTTGGTACTACCGGTCTAAGGCGAGGCGTTAGGTTATAACCCAGAGCCGGGTGACAGAGGATCCCCTGCTTGTCTAACGAGGAAAACTATCAAAAGACACGCGCAACTAACCAAGAAAAGAGAAAAAAGTTCAGTTCTCCGATTCGTATCAGAGCAACTCTTCTCCCTTTTGACGAAAAGAACGATCATCATGAGTCACGTTTCAAATTTCGGTACGTATCTGGAGGCCTTGCAATATCTGAAAGGGGTCCTCCGGAAACTGCGCATCGAGTGTAAGGATGACACTACCGAAGACCGCAAGATCGACATCATTTCGTACACCCTACAAGAAAGTCCCCTCATATGGGCGGAGGCACAAGATTTCAAGAAGGTGGACGACTTCGTGAGGGCGTTCAAAAGTCAGTACATGTCCAACCCTGACAGCGATATCATCGGATATATGCACACCGTCAAGCAGAGGTCGGGGCAAAGTGCCTTAGACCTCCTGGATCATTCAGCAAATCATCTTCGGACTGAAGGAGTACATGGAAGAGGGGATTGTGCGTCAGTACATCAGCACACTGATCGACATAGTTATGCGCGAGCAGATCCTCTCCAAGGACCCGAAAACTATGGCAGAAGTAGAGGACGCGATCATCTACTTCTCGGCATATAGTGAGACCACCAAGCACAGCAAGAAGGTCATGTTCCAGGAGGAATCCAAGGGGGGAGCTGACCTTCTTGCAGATGAGATGAAGAAGTTACGCATTCTTCTCATAAACCTGTCCAGCCGTCCTACTTAATATAGGACTTATGAGAGGAAGACTGTTCCGACCACATGCTACATCTGCAAGGCACCACGGCATTTTGTTTGTGAATGCCCGATTAAGAGGATAACCCGTCTGAGCAACATGATGCAGACCGTGGAAGAGAAATTCTTCATAGCTGCCTTCCTCGAGGCTGATGCGAAAGCCTATGCATTAATCGGAGCCAAACATACCCGACAGAATCTGGTTCGAGACCCTCAGGGATGGACGGTGGAAGAGGCGCAGGAAGAGATCCGCCGACGCGCCGAAGCACAATCGGCACTTGCTCGACGGTTCGTTTCCCGTTCCAGCGTCCCAACCAACCGATATCTGCTCATCGAGCAGCTGAAAAATACCGAAGATGACATTAGTTTCTGGAATTACTTGGGCGACTGCTCCCGTGCCCGCATGGAGCTGATCGAGGTGTTGCAGTCGCTGCCCGACGATGTGACAATACCTGCTGCACCAGGACCATCAACTAGTACCCCGATGGCTACTAATGCATACGCTCAGCCATCTTACGCAATACAGGAGAAAACTCCAAGATTGAACATGACCTCATATTCGGTTGTCCAGCGTCCGGTGCAAATCGGCCGGCACAGCATTACGGCAATAGTTGACTCCGGAGCATCGACCACTACCTTATCTCACGTGGTAGTTCGACGCCTCGGTCCGCTCAATTTACCCAGAAAAATGCAACATCGAGTTTATGGCATCAAGTGGGGACAAGTCCAAGCCATGAGGCGTACTCCACAACGTCCCGATCCGAGTGGGGTCGCTGACCCTTCTCATCCACGTCCCGGTTACCGGAGCGATTAGCTACGACATGCTCC